CTGGGATTGAAGGCCGTAACACGGGGTGTTACATAAAGATACCAACAAAAACAAATGAGGGGTGAAGTAGGGGGTTACCTCACTCTTCGTCTTGAGAGGAGCCACCATCTGAATCTTTAGTGGCTTCATCAGCTCTGTCTCTACTCGAACTAGCTTCCAAAGCGGTCAACCTTCGGTCTACTGAGGCAAACTGCGTCTTCATGAACGCGAACCCTTCCTCGATCATTTGGTTTTGCTTTCACAAAAAGAGCTACCGCATGCTCATCCGTAGTCATGGATTCGTGCTCCCCCTTGGTTCGCACTTCCTTCCTCCGGTCTTCTTCCTCGTTGTCGGGATCACCATCCTCTTCTTCATCGCCACCATCTCTCAACTCCTCAACTACAGATTTCAGCTTCTTGATGGGAACGGCCAACTGATCGACTAGAAGTCTCCTCTCTCCTGATGGTTTCTTAGCTATCTCTTCTAAGGTAATATACTTGTTACCTTCCACTTGGAACAAGTTGCAGCTTCGGAGATTCAGGGCATCAAAAACCATCTTGCCAATAGGCTTGGCAACTGTCTCTCTAACGTCCACTCCTTTCCTTTCAAAGATCCAGCTTAAAATCATGCTGTAAGGTAAAATCTTACAGTTATACCCCACGCAATACTCCATATGTTGTAGCGTCAAAGCTGGCAGGTTAAAATTCACATTGTGCTTCAAGAAATAGGCAAAAGTGCACTCCATGCTCCTTACCTGACTACTTTTGTTGTTGTTAAGCAGCAAACTATCAGTAACAAGCATCACCAAAATCTTTTGTTCTCCAGTCAACCATCTCTTTTCAGGCCTCGTGGCTTGAGTGAAACCATCTGTCCTTCCCAACAAATACCCTAGATAATCCCGGTGGTCTAGGCCTTCCGTTCCAACCCAAGTATCTCTCTTATACTCTGTGACCCCAGTCAGAGTCAACTTAAGGAGCTTGGCTAACCTGCTTTCGTTTAGTACAATCTTGACACCGTTCACCTTCGAGGTGATTTCCAATTTGCTCCATACTTTCGTCACAACCATACAACGATAGAATTCTTTCACCAATTTCGGGTAAGTCTCATTCTTAATTGCTAAATACCCATCCAAAAGACCTTGAAAATTAAACACATCCAAAATAGTACTTGAAAAGAATTCGCATTCAAAGGTTTTACCTTCTAGAACCGAGTAGTGGGCATCCACTCAATCTACCTTCTTGAGGATACTCGTCTTCATAGGCATGGTGCAAAAACTTCAACCCAAAATGGAGGCTTGAACTCTCCTTCTTTCCCTTTTTTTTCTTTTTCTTCTTCTTTTTCTGAGGGGCCGACGACGAGGCAGCGGTGGTAGGCAGCGGCTCGGTGCGGCGACTTCGGGCGATGCTCGGCGGTGACGGGCAGCAGACGGGCGGTGGTCGGCTGGCTGGGGGGGAAGTTGGCGGGCTGGAGCTTCGCTGCTGCTTATCTCGGCTGGGTTACGGGTGGGGGAAAAATTGGGGAAGAAAGAGGGAAAGAGAATTTTATTTGGAGATTTAGGCTAGGGTTTAGATAGGAAAAGGTAAAAATGAATTAAGGTTGGAAAAGGTTCAAGAAACATAATTAGCTTGAGTGGTTCAAAGGTTGGGTTGGTATACTATAGGCTTGGGTTTGAAACTCCTTAAAGGCAAAAAAACTACTTTGGCTTTTTAAACCTCTAATTCCTTAAGGTTTCTCTAATGTTAGCTTTTACTATACTTAAGGTGAAACTAAGGATCTTCTACTGATTAAGTAGGTCCTTTTTAATTAATGGATTAGGTTCCCTATTCAAATCTACCCAAACGAAAGGCTTAAGGGAAAAGGCAAGGAAAGCGAAACTCAAAGGTAAAGAGATTGGCTCGGAATGGATAGCTGTGATTTCCTCATCGGCTAAATCCTCGGCTTTAGCTTGTGACTGTCTCATCACAAACACCTTGCCTTGAGGCCTTGTTCTGCCCGAAGGTTCATTCCCAAACCCACGACTATTCCCACCTCCCAATGGTCCCAAAGGTGAGGGTCTCGCACTACAGTGATGCTGGGGTGGTCCGCCTTGCTCGGCTGGGTAGGGGCAAGTGCGAGCCTTGTGTCCTCTTCTCCCACAATTGAAGCATTGAAGCGGGTTTCCTTGACAATCCTTCCCAATGTGGTCCTTACCACATCTCCTACATAAATTCGGTCCCCTCCTAACCTCCGAATGTGTCCTTGACGACTCTTGTCCTTGAGAATAGGTTACTTTAGAGTTGTAGTCACCTCTTGCCTTATTGAAGTTCGGATTTCCACTCCCCTCAAGTCTTCTCTTGGTTTGGTCACTTGACCCCCTTGCATTTGTTGGATCCGAAACAAGTCAGCTGCGCTGGAGTAGGCTTCATCAAGCGTCCTTGGTTTGAACACCGTTAAGGACTTCCTTGCCTCGTAATTCAACCCGGCCACAAACTTTTCCACTCGAGCGGCCTCGGTAGGGACCAACACTTGGGCGAAGCGAGACAGCTTTAAAAACCTTTTGTGGTATTCCACCACGGTCAAAGCCCCTTCCTTGAGATGAAGAAACTCCTCGTACATTGCCGCTTGGACATGCGAGGGATAGAAGCGCTCCCGGAGCTTGTCCTTCAACCTTTCCCAACTGAACCCCAGCTCTCCTTGACAACCCAGTCCTTCGTGGACCCACCACAAGTCTGCCTTATGACTGAAGTAGAAAGTGGGTAACTCAACTCGGCGCTCTTCCGGGCATTTTACCACCAAGAAGATCTTGTCCAGCGTTCGGATCCACTCTTCCAAGATTGGGGGGTCTTCTTCCCCGGCAAAGATAGGAGGTCGATAGCTTGAGACTTGTCGACCGACGTCACGATTCGTATTCGGTGGTGGTGGAGGAGGATTATTGTTGTTGTAGAGGAGAGCATTGCTCAGCGTCTGCATAGTCTGAGTGAGATGCTGAAGGTTTTGAGCTAGCTGTTCATTTGTGGGCGTTTCCAGAGTCCAAGCACGGTGGCGAGGTGGTGCCATTGCAGAGTTCTAAAGAAGCAACACGGTTACAGCAAGAGAAACTGGGAAGCTATGCACCCTTACCCGGTGCTTAAAACGAAGATATTAAACTAAACACAGGCAAGAAAAGGAAAACACAACAACTGTAAAGAAACTCACACCTCACCGCGCGTCCTATAATTCTTAAGTCCTAAACACTTAGTCACTTAGAGTTCAGACTTAGGATTCTTAGTTCAAACTTAACTTTCTAAAGTTCAACTACTAGCATCCTAGGCTCAACCTAGGCTCTGATACCAACTGTAACACCCCCGATTTTAGGCATATTTTAAAACCGTTTAAGCTTAAGTATAAGATAATATCTAAGCATTAATCATAAACAAAGTGGAAGCTAGTCACATGCAAACGGGGAGATGTTATGCCACACCTACAAAACTATGGGTGCATAGGCTAAGTCTAATCAAATCATCCATAAACAGAGTCATAATATCCAAGGCACACATGCCACAAGTCTAATTAAGGAAGCCACAAAAAGAGCTACGTTATCTAATCCATCTTCTAGCGCACTCGGGGGACTACTCATCACCTGAAAACACAAGGGTAGCACCCGTCAGTGAATAGAGCTGGTAACCCACCAATACACGTTGAGTATCATAATATATAGATATAGGGAAAAGCATTTTAGATAGTGGAATACAATATATAATCCTTTAAAATGAAGTAGGAACAACCTAAGACTCAATAACAAGTCACTCTCAATCAAAGACCAATCTCAACAGATTACTCAATAATCAACAAGAATGACAAAGACAACATGTTCAGCAACAAGATATATCAAACGATTATTAATCAAGAGACAATCATAAGTCACTCTCATGAACCATGAGAAACAAGAATCACATTCAAAGATGAGTACTATGTTCCAACCTTATGCCATGTTCCAACCATTTTCTCCAGGCCAACCTTATTAAGTTCCAACCTTTACTTCCTAGTGCCACCTTGTACACCGAGTCCAACCTTATTCCTCCGGAGCGATCCGCCCCCCACCTGCATCCGCCAGCTTTAACCCCCAAACGGGGACACTCGTAGTGTCAATAGTCATATAGAAAAGTACTAATCACGTGATAGTGTATCTCCTTTCATTATTGGCCACCAATCATATAACAATACATAGATCCTCATCACCGAGGATTGAGGCTCATCAATAGACCAATCAAGTATCAATAAACGGGTACATTACATGTATAAGATCATATCAAGGAATACAACCAATAGATTACAATGAAAGACATGAATAGACCATCAAAGCAACAATACAACAACGATAGACTTCAATCCAAAAACTACCATGATTGGAAACACAAGTAGCCAATACTCATTAGGAACAATCGAACAACACATACTAGCATCAACAACATTAAGACTAGGGAAATGAAATGTGATCTTGCTAGGGAAAGGCTTGAATACCAAGCAAGAGTGAAAAGAAAAGCATACCTTTACTAAAAGGCTAGGAAGACAAAAAGGCCATGTACAACTTATAAAGCTCAAAGTCCTTCTTATTGACTAAACTAATTGACCAAGGAATTGGTCAATCTAAGTCCTTCGACTTTTAATTGAAGAATTGGAAGAGAAATTCATGAGAAGGCTTAGAATTAATTACATAATTAATTCTATTTAAGGATTGGATTTTCCAGGGTATCACAATAACGGCGTACTTGGCCGATTTGCCAGGGTCTGATCCCTCTGGATGACTACTCGACGAAGCCGACGGCGGTGACACATCTTCCTTGATTTCGTGCACCAGACGAGGAGGGGGCGGCCGGTAGACCTGGAGGTTCCACCAATGTTTCTTTTTGGTTTCACCCCTCACTCGCTTAGACACAGAGGTTCCACCGATTTCTCGTTGTCGCTTGTATTTAATCGCCTACACTGTGTTTGCCCGCTTGTTGCTCATGTGGATGGCTTCTATATATGTGGCCAGGGAACTGTCTCGAAGATCCTAATACAACTATCCAGATCGGAGTGATTCGATGAAGAACGTGAGTGCTGTTTGATCCTCGACCTCTTCTATGGCTTGGTCTTCTTTTTGCCATTGGGCCAAGTAAGCCTTGAGCGATTCTCCTTCATCTTGATGGATGTCACCGAGGTGCGTAATGTCCTTCTGAGGCTTGATGTTGGCAGCATAATGGCTCATGAACCGATCGGCCAAGTCCTCGAAGCTACGAATAGAACTTGGGGGAAGAGCGACGAGCCATCTTTGAGCAAGGCCTTTGAAGGTTAGTAGGAAAGCACGACACATAACCTGATCCTTTACCCCCAAGACCTGCATCTTTGCTTGGTAGCTTAGAAGGTGCTCTCGCGCGTCACCCGTCCCGTCGAAGGTAATCCTGCTCGGGGAACTTGAAATCCCCGGGTGTTTTATATGACATGATTTCAGCCGAGAAAGGTAGGGCGGTGAGCAGAACTCGACAGGGTGATTTGACTCTTCCCGCCATCTGATCATTCAGATTGCATATCTCCTGCGCCAAATAGGCAATTTCGTTGGGGTTCCCTGTTCGATTCCCTGTGGACTCGGTACTTTCCCCATCTTGAGACTCGGCTTGTGGTCCTTCCTCTACTGCTCGTTTCCTGGTTCCTCGACTCTGAGTTTTGGTCTTCCGCGAATGGGTTACCCTTTCTTTCGACCCTTCTGTCCTGTCGACTGGGTCGGACTCGGCTGGGCGCTTTTTCACCCAGTCACTCTCGTGCAGGGCGTCGAACGACGTCTGGGCCTAACCTCGAATGCACAAACTGAACCGGTTAACTGCTATGCCTTTGGTTCTCCTGGCCTATGCCACCGTGTCCTGACGGTTGGACTTGATCCTGTTGCGGCAGGCGGGGTGGCTAGAAGCTCGACGGGGCCCTTCGCCCTTGTGTCTGTGCCGCTACTGCCCGCGCGATGGCAACTGTGACACCCCGAAAATCCATCCTTTAAATAGAATAAATTGTTTGATTTCTTGGCAAAATTCCTTCTTAAATTCCTAATTAATAGTCGGAGGACTTAAATTGACCAACTCCTCGGTCAATTGAATTAGTCAAAGAAAAAGACCTTGAGCTTTATAACTTGTACCTAGCCTTTTGATGTCATCCTAACCTTTTTAGAATAAGGAAGGGCATTTTAGACATTTCATCCTTGCTTGGCATTCAATCCTTACACAAACAAGACTATATTTTGTTTCCCACATTTGGCAAGAAACACTTAGCATCTATCTTCTCTCTAGATGTGTAGCTTATTTCCCAAGCCAAACCAAAATCTTCCTTCAATCCTACCAAGAACTGTCCAAGATTCTAACTTTCTACCACCAAGATCTTAAGAAAGGTAAGGCCTAGCCTTGGGTAGTGTTTTTACATAGATTCTTCTTGGCTTTAGCTAAGTTGTGGATTTTGTGTGGTTTTGGTTGTGTTGGAAAGGCTTTGTTAAGGAAGAGCTTCAAGAAGAAGTCTAGGGAGTGAATGGAAGGTGTTATTTAGGCTATAAAGTTAACCCATGCTTTACAAAACCTATTTTATACTTGCTATGATCATTCTTGCTACTCTATTGATGTTCTTGATATTTATGAGTGATGTGATGCATAATCTTGTGTTTATGCATGTTCGAGCTTGTATCTAGGGTTCATAAATGCTATTCATTGAGATATTTATGTGTTCAAGTCATTTCCTTATTGAATGTGAGGTTTTGGGTGTTTTGGACCTGAACTTGGCTATGTTGATTTTTTCCCCGAAGGGAATTTTGAGGGTACAGGTATGTACCCGCTGGCGGAAAAACGGGTGGCTGTCCACCCGTTATTCCACCCGCGGGTGGAAGGAGATGGATCAGCGGGAGGAGCCGCGGGTGGAAGTCCACCTATGGTTCCACCCGCTGGTACAGTGTAAGGGGGTCGACGGGTGGTTGTCCACCCACCGTTTCGCTCACTGGTAAGTGATGCTTTGGCCTCCGTTTTGTTGAATCGTTGTGCACTTGTGCGTCTCCTTTGATGTTCCGTACGTCTAGAACGGTGTCCTAAGTATCCATGATAGGATTATGAGTCTTGAATCATGCTTATGGTCCAACCTTGTGATTCATTGGACTAATGTGAAGTTGTCAATGTTCGATTGAACCGTTATGTTTATCCTTTTGATGTACATGCTAGTTATGATGTTATTGATGCTTGTATGTGTTGTTCATTTGTTCCCAATGAGGATTGGCAACTTGTGTTGCCAATCATGGTAGTCTTTAGATTAAGGTCTATCGTTGTTTGATTGTTGATTCATGTCTTTCATTGAAATCTATCGATTGAATTTCTTGATATGATCTTGTGCATATGATGTACCCATTTGTTGATACTTGATTGGGCTATTGATGGGCCTCAATCCTCTATGACAATGATTATGTGAATGCTATGAGATTGGTGGTAATGTTATTGAGCTGTGCTCACATGTTGGCGGTATAGTATCATGATTAGTACTAAATGATTAATGACATTACGAATGTCTACGTTCGGTGACAAGCTGGCAGATGCAGGCGGGGATCAATGTAAAGGCTCCGGAGGGATAAAGTTGGACTTGGTGTACAGGGTGGCACTAGGAGGTAATGGTTGGAACTGAGATAATGTTGGGGATAGCCATAAGGTTGGAACATGGCATAAGGTTGGAACTTGTAACGTATCATTGAATGTGAATCTTATCTCTCATGATTTATGAGTATGATTTATGTTGTCTCTTGATTGATTATCGTATGATGTATCTTGTTGTTAAGCATGTTGCTTCTGTCATTCTTATTAATTTATTGAGTAACCACTGATGTTTGTCTTTATTTGAGAGTGAACTATGATGAGTCTTATGATGTCTCTATTCCTCATTTCAAAGACTATATATTATGCATTCCAAGCCTCAAATGGTTTTCCTATATCTATATTATATGGTACTCAACGCGTATTGGTGGGTTACCAGCATTATTCGCTGACGGGTTCTACCCTTGTGTTTTCAGGTGTTGATTAGATCGTTGAGAGCGTGCTAGATGAAGGCTTATATAGCGTAGCCTCCCTTATTGTTCACTCTAGACTTGTGGCCTGTGAGCCTAGACTTGTGGAATATTATTTAATGTTTGGATTTGGTTTTGGATTCTAGCCTGTGCATCTATAGTTAGATAGATGTGGCGTAACTCCCTTGTACCTTATTGTTAGCTTCCGCTGAGCATTAATTTAATGATTAGACTTATCTTTATATTTAAGTTTTAAATTATGCTGAAATCTAGGGTGTTATAGCATCGATCTGCGCAGGCATAAGTGGCATCATGGGTTGTGGTGGCGGTTGAGGCGCCGAGTCATTCTCCTGCCCTCGCGAACTCCGCTGACTCATACTGCCCGCACCCATAACAATTCCAAGCTAAGGTATCGATCCATGCCTAATTCTAATTTCCCACTTGACCTGTGTTTGTACTTTGGATTTGGTCCTCTTGTTTGAACTTTGAAGTATTTTAAGAGAAATTTCTTTGGAGCATTGACTGTGTTATAAAAATTTATGACTTCATTTGGCTCATTTTATATGTTTTATTTAACATTCATTAGTTATACAAACTGTTTCTTCTTTATCCTTTTTTATTTTCTTTAATAGTTTTTAATTATTTGTAAATTTAAATTTTTATACTACTTTTTAGACCTGACAATTTGTGTATACGGGTTCGTTCACGGATTGATACGATATCATTATCATTGGTGCTTTCATTGAGAGCCTGAGAATCAACTCAAGGCGACAACATACATCTTTTTATCTCGATCATCAACAAGCTTGGATTCCATGGTTCTTGTAGCCTAAATCGCAATAGCAATGACAACGCGAGCACAGACAACGTGGCCAACAACAACCGTAACGGCGGGCAGCAAGGACAAGTGCCCCGATACTCGCGCAAGAGGATAAAGTGATATCGCTACAGTGAGAGAGGACCCGGTGCCGTAGAAATCAACATGTAACTCAGCCTCGCTCCAGGGAAAGCAAGCGAGGTGCCGAGGAGAAGGTATTCAAGGGGACGACTTAGTTGTGTAGTGGTCACCATGGTCGAGGCATATCCTCAACCATTTGACTGATGTCTGTCCTCGACCCAAAAAAAAAATTAAAATTAAAAAATAAAAAAAGCTTGCTCGCACCTCTATTCCCTAAGGAGCGGTATGGGATCCGATCTCGCTAGCTACTCGACGGAAAGACATTTTCTTGGCCAAGCTCATGGCTTAATTATGAAAACCTGATTCCTTAAGGGACAGTACGGGGTCTGGCCTCGCCTCGCTGACTACCCTATGGAAGTGTTGACCTTTGATCAAGCACATAGTTGGCCGAAGTGAGCTACCAAACAAAAACCAAAAAAAAAAAAAAAAACAAAACAAAAAAAACAACTAAAATAAAATACAAAAAAAAGGCTGGTTGAGGCCTCCTCGGCCATGGCAGTCGAGGAAGCGCCTCGGCTTCTCCCATTGCCGAGGTGATCCTCGGTCTCTCCCATCGCCGAGGCGGTCCTCGGCCATGGTGGTCGAGGCAGCCCTCGACTATGGTAGCCGAGGCGGTGATCGGATTAAAAAAAAAATTTGTCTGAGCATTTCAGATTATGGAAATGGCATTGCTTGTGTCTGTGTCTGCCATTGAATTTGAAAGGTGTGAGAACCCTGTTGTAATGTTGTCAAGGAACCCTGTTTACGCAGTGGAAATGTGCATGACGGGTTTTGATAACGATAAGGTTTTTCGTGTGTTTTACAAGAACGAATCGTGTTCTGCTGCTGTCATGACGGTGAACTATGGCATCAGGAAGATCCTCCCCGACTCTGACATATGCGATTAGGAGTTCGATTTGTGTGGCTATTCCATGAATTCTATTGATGGAGCTGCGCTCACAACCATTCACGTGACACCAGAAGACGGTTTAAGTTATGGGAACTTTGAGGTTGCCGAGGTAATCCTCGGCCTTGGTAGTCGAGGGATGCTCTGATTCTGAGAGTCAAGATTGCCTGCTCCAGCAAGAAACCGCTTCTGTCTTCAACACTATTGGAAGACAAGGTAGATGAAGGCAATCAAGGAGGAAGATAGCTTTAACGGGCTCTATTGTCTTTTCCATTCTAAGTCTGTTGTAACCGTATTTTCACCCACTCACCACCTTTCTATTCTCTGCATATTCATCTGCTTCAATCAATTAGATATTCTGCTTTCATTAGTTTCAATGAACAATGTGACAACCCAAAATTTAATTTTCTAAATTCAGTTTTAAGAAATTTCAAAATAGCCATTTTTCACTCTATCAAAAATTTTCACGATGAAATCGGTGTTTGA